TCCGTCAAGTAGTTTTTATTTCTATAACGAACATACAGACAAAAATTTTACCGATTGCATTTTTGGCATTAGTATCAATCACTAATCACCCCCTGGTAGTTATTTTGGAAATATATTTCATGTACAGAATCGACCTCTCTACAGATGTATTCTAAAAATATCTACTATTGAACACTAAAATTGATTCAGGGCAATGAATTAATTAATGATAATTTCCATTATTTTACAGAAATATTTTGCAGAGAGTCATATTCCCGTGTTAATAGTGGGAACAAAGGGCGATGCGCTAATTGCAAGACAAGAGTACATCCTTCAACCAGATGTATTTTGCAATAAATACCAACTACTACCACCACAGTTGTTCAACATTAGAGAAAATAAACACGATGTTTTCGTCAAACTAGCCACCATGGCTGCATTTCCGTAAGTAAACATTTATTTTTAATCAGCACTGCTTTCAGGATTACATCACTAGTATATTAATAAATTCTGATACCTATTAATAACTTTTAATGGATTAATGAATTTTGAAACCAATTTTTTTCCTTAATAATGGCTGAAATTTCGAAATTGTTATTTTAATTGTCTTTGTCAGTCAATTTCAAGCAGCTTGGATTTTATTCAGCAAGCACAGGTTAGTTGTAATATATTTTTTAATTAACAAGTTTATTAGCTGTCAACGTTGTTCTCACTGAATTTATTACATTTCAGACACTTGAAGCACTTTGCCAGCTTGTCAGGGGATAATTCATCATGGTGGAAGGCGGGCATTGGAGTAGCTGCCGCTACGGTCGTGGGTCTCGTCCTCATTAAGATATTCAGCTTCCAGAAACGTTAGATTAGAGTAACTGCTGCAGCTTTTATTTATTGTACATAAATATTGTTATGTATTAAAAATAGTATTGAATTTAAATGCTTGAAAAATTATTTAATTAGACCAAAGAGAAACCTTGAATAGGACGAATAATATATTTTATTTCAGTTGTAAATAAAAGTTTGATTGCGGAAAACACTTTCATTGTAAATATGAAGCACCTGGGAAAATAGTTTTATAACGCCTTTGGCGTAGTCTTACCTAATTTAGTAACCTTCCACAGACAAGATAGGCAATATTCCAAATTGCTAATACAAGCTCCAAATTCATAAAAGTACAAGCAAAACCACACCAAGACGTGTCCGTTACCAAAGTCAGATGTTGTCGAAAATGGTCATTTGAATCTTATAGATAATTAATTTTGCGGCTTCTGTAATTATTGCGCACATTTTTAAATTTGTTGCGCATATATTATTTTAATTATTTCACAAAAAACATTTCCTGCTGGGGTAACGTTACCCGAGCCAGACCTTTTTCTTTCTAATGGGAATATTTAAGTAATTACTAGCTCTAAAATTAGTTGTCTAGATGAAGTAAATGCGTGTGCTTTCGCGCAGCGGAATGTTGTTGAATTTAAAGATTTTAATTATGCAGATAATTAGTGTAAGAAGTCCTATAATTGTATATGGTAAAAAAATGTATAGGTATGCAGCTATTGTGGAGAAATTCACCAATAACTGATTCCGCTGGGCGAACGTTCATCGTGCGTGGCAACGGAGATTTAGCTCCACTGACTGTTTTGCAAGATGGTACAGCAAATAACTAGTGCTTTCTGTTGCCACAGTAATTGTCAGGAGCAAAAATACGAAGGAATTCATCGTGCAAATCAGGAGCATCAATTCGACCGTAAACGATTATGTACATTATTAAAATTTGTTGCATTTCCCGTCTAACTTTTAGAGAGTTATACCCTAAACAACCAAGTAAAAATAGCGTTGGGTATAATTAAGAATAATAACCATTCACGAGTTTGTAAATAGATCGGAGAAATGTTTTTTACACTTTTTCGAGGAGCAACTCGTATTGTAGCGATCAAATCGCATACACAAAAACATCATCGTTTACCCCAATCCGAGAAGTGGTCGTGATGATATACGCAACTGGACTATGAATACGGGCCATCGTATGATGTTTGCACTTAGCCCGTTCATTAGGTGCGTTACGCCCCCGGCACGTGTAAGCAGGCCCCGCCTCCAGAGGCAGGTATAGCGCAGCATGCATCGCACGCGCATCCTCCGATCCTCCGTCTGTCGCCTAGTTTATAATCAGTGTAATTAAGCCGCCGCATTCGACTAAACATCACCACTCTACACTTGCTCAGATTGAATTCCATTTATATTTTCCCTGCCCCATTCAGATATCGCGTCAATGTCATCGCATCGTGAAGAGCCATATAATCTGATTCAGATTTAATTTCAGCAAATAAAAAAGTCGTCGGCGTACAGGAGACATTTGGAATGTTTGAGCACTAAGGGAAGATCATTTATCATGAGCAAAAACAGCAGGGGTCCGAGGATTGATCCCTGACTAACTCCAGAGCGTCGCTATCGTCAACAATCTAACGAATTGTTGACGATAACGGAGGTAGTCAGCAAAAAACCTCAGGAGTTTTCGGAAAAATCCCAAACTACTAAGTTTTGACAAAAATGTCATTGTTCACTCTATCGAATGCTTTCATAGAATTGAAATACAGAACATCTACTTGGCATCGATTATCCAATCTGGAAGATATGTAGTCCACAAGGGTGAGCACGTTCGTGTCCACAGACCTCCCAGACCCAAAGCCATGTTGTTCAGAACACAAATAAGCCTTAACTTGTTTGTATATTTGTTTGTGCATGATGTTCTCAAATATCTTAGCAGGAGTCGAGAGAATTGTGATTGGTCGGTATTCCTCAGCATCAGATTTATTACTGGTCTTAGGAATTGGGGTAACTCTTGAAAGTTTCCATTGCCGAGGATATATACCATTCTGCAGGGAGGGACATATTGAAAATATGGCAAAGAGAAGCTAAAAGGACCTCCATACATTTGATTATATAAGGAGGTACATTATCGGGTCTAATAGAACTATTGGTCTTTAATTTTTGTACCTATGCCTTTTATGACGTCATTCGAAGTTACGTGAAATATGTTAATAAAGGAGCTATTAATAGAAAAGTCACGAATATCGAGAGGATCTGTGCTGAGCCGAGGCACCTCAGCAAGGACGACGCTTGAGAAGAACTCAGCGAAAGCTTCTGCTGCGGCCACACCACTGAATGATTCACCTTGGAAAGTAACATTGGGCTCGAAGCCCCCCTTAGTACGGAGACTCGAAATGTATTCCCAAAATTGTCGCGGGCTAACTCTGATGTTTTTTTCAATTTGTTGTAAATATGCACGATGTGCAGCTGCGATTTGCATGTGAATAGTTGAATGTTCAAACAAATTATTGGCATACATCTTATACCATGCAATTCCTTTAGAACGTCGTGATATTCGACTGCTTTGTAAACAGGGATCTATTCCTGGTAAATTATTCTATAACTTTTTAATTACTAACGGAACATCATTGATACTTGGCAACATGTTGCAGACACTTACAAGGTTTGTGTAAACGTGAAAACCTAGACCCCAAAGTGTATACTTTAAGAACTAAGACCTAATAAGTGTATTTTACGTTTACATTTTTATCTTTTAAACCCTACGACTTTTTCTAAATCTGTTTCTTAAACAAATAAAAAACAACGTATGTAAAAATCTACAGCTCTTTATGTAAGCGCTTTATATGAAAACTAGCTAATGGCCAAACGTTCGCGTAGCGGAAACTTGAATTTCTCCGAAGTTTATGCATGTACTGATTTCATTCATACATAAACAATTACACACAAATTTTTGGTCACGTCTCTTTTCTTCTAAAGTCCGCCAGGACAACGTTCACCCAGGGGAATCAGTTTTTGATTAATTTCTCCACAATGGCTGCATACACATTTTTTTTTACCATACATACACAATTATAGGACGTCATACACTAATTATCTGCATAATTAAAATCTTTAAATTCAACATCTTAGGAATTAGTTTACATCTGTTTGTTAACGACTGCCTTGTTGGCAGAGTGGTCGTAAGTGCGCAAGGGGCTCGCTTCGATTCCCGGGTCGGGAAAAGTATTATTGTTTTTTTTTAAATATTCTCAATCAATAGTAGCACGGAGTCTGGAATTGTGCTCGGTATATGGCAATGGGCTAACCCCCTATTACATGGAACTCATAAATAGTGAAACGTGGGTGTTACTTTGTACAGTGGTATAATGTGCACCTCTGCCTACCCCTTCGGGGATAAAAGGCGTGATGTTATGTTTAACTCGTCGAGTACCGTCATTATAGACACAATTATAGAACAATAGGTTGCGGTCACCGGTGACCGCTTGGTGTTTGACAAAGTTCTGCAATAAAAATGTTTTTTTGAAATAATAAACTATAAGCGCAACAATTACAGAAGCCGCAAAACTAGTTAATTTATGTATAAGAGTCAAGTACAATTTTCGACAACATCTGGCCTGGGTAACGCACACCACCAAGACGTCACACATGAAGTTCCACACGAGTACAAATTATTACACCCCTATAACTGTAGGTACTAAAGAACAAATTTGATTTTACACGATTGGCGGTTGTCAAGTGACCGGCTGTTGCAGCGCGGGATCCGATTCCTACACGAAAAATAAGTTTGATATGAAAGTAGGTCATCTATGATTGTATCATAATTATTGAAATTACTTATTCAAGTGAAGTAGTGTTTATAAACGAACCCACGACTGAATAAAAGACTGGTTTAGGGCAACGTTTGACTAAAATATTCCTCCTTTTCTAATATCTTATTTTATCTGTGTTCTGTCAGAGATGCAGAGCCTTTTGAAATACATTTCGCGTGCACGTGCACCTCCATCGCCTGAAACCACCAGCGGTACAGATTCTGCTCATTCCGCCCTATCCCATAAAAATGCTCTGTACCAAACCCTCATCTGAAAATAAGGATTAGCTATTACTCATATTAACCTCACCATAACAGGATGTATTATGATGAAGAAAATATTCTTGAACATTATAAAGATAAACAAAACAGGGTGGCAATAAAAACATAATCACTATTATAACTATTTAATGAATGCATACAAAGTTTCAAATACATAATACTATTCATCCTTAATGGATAATAAATAAAAAATGCAAAAATATATACCATGTGGAAACAACTTATTTTGATTAGAAACTAAGCTAGAGAAGGATGCATTATGCCTATAGTATGAACTTTAATTCAACTATAATCTGAACTCGATCACAATTTTAAGGGTGACAACAGTGAAAGTTATAACGAAACTAATAACTGATTGGTCTACTACCTAATCGTTAATTTCTAATAGATACAACTCTATTTTATTCCCGATTCGATAAGTTCTCAAAATGTTGCAACATTAAAACTGTTATGTATTATAAATTATGAATTGAGTTAAAAGTTAAGATTATAGTAGAAATGCTACATTGTAAAATGTATTTGTAAAATAAAAGAAACTCATTTACATACAAATTCCAACATCATTCACACGACTTTTATCTACGACGACGGTAAGAATCGATGAAGAACAAAATAGTATTGTTGTACAATTGTAAACTTAATGTTTTAAAAAAATACCTTATGTATTTAGAAAATATAACTCTCATTGTCATTTTACAATGAAGTAGCTAGTTTTTCATTTTCTATACGATTTTCAATAGATTTGACTATTCAAGCTATTGTATCATGAACTTTCACACTTAAATGGTATAAGTATCTTACTAGATAGGTGATTTTATACAAGAAAGAACAACTATACGGTAAGTCAATTCGTAATTACAAAACAAACTTATTACATCTAAATAAAGGTAATATTAATTTAATCAATATGGTCTTTGGCGGTCCCGGCCCCTGTAAAAACAGAAAAATAATAATTTAATTTATATAGCAATTAAATTGGGAGAAGTATACGCAAAGTGTGTATAATACTTAGTTTAGTACTGAAGTTTAGTTAGTCAATCAAATCAATCAGTATAATTCATTTAAATATGTTAGAAGGTGACTAGGTTGATGATGATAGTTACCCGCCGTCACTCCTCATTGCGCCGCCGCCACTGCCGCGGTCTCCGCCGCCACCACTGCCGTAACTGCGGCGGTCGCCACCACGGTCTCCTCCTCGATCCCCGCGGCCGCCGCCGCCGCCGCCCCAGCCACCGCCGCCTCGTCCACCGCCTCCGCGACCTCCGCGGCCAGGTGGACCACCGCCGCCGCCGCCACCACCGCGTCCATTACCGCCCGACGGAGGACCGCCACTTGCACCGCCGGCACCCTCTGGTTTCTCCTCATTACACCTGTTGCATGCTTTTCTCCAAGAAAAGTTTGTATTTCCACAGCTTGGATTAGGACATCTCCAATCACCGGCTCTATTGCCAGAAGGCAGGCCACCACCTCCGCCTGAACTGCCTCCACCTCTTGGGCCGCCGCCGCCGCCGCCGCCGCCACCACCGCCGCGGCCGCCGCCACCCCCGCGCCCTCCACGGAATCCACCGCCGCCACCTCCTTTGTTACCACCCCATGTATTTTGGCGTTGAGCTAGAGATACTTTGATTGTAGCTCCATTGAAATCTTTTCCGTCAAACCATTGAATAGCTGAGGATGCGGCATTAGAGTCTTCATAAGTCACAGTAGCTTCTCCTTTTGGTTGTCCAGATACTTTATCTTTATACATCCAGACCTTTGGTCTTTGAGTTTTCTTGTCGGTCTGCAAAAACAAATTACAGTTTTATTAATTGCCTAATTGATTGACACACAACATAAAAATTAAATGAATTAATTAATAGACCATTAATTAATTAATATATACAGCTTTTTAAAAATTGAAACTAATCCATAGTTTAAATATGTTACACACCTTAATAATACCAATAGAACCAAAGTGCTGACATAGCTCATCTTCAGTTGTAGATGGATTCATTCCTTGAATGAAAATCGTGTCTTCCTGAGTCACCATGTCACCCCCACCTCGGTCGCCGCCGTATCCACCGCCGCCACCTGCAGATAAATACTAAATTAATCACCGCTAACAGGGCATACATAATTGTATGTGTACCTATTTAGTTTTTTCCTGTTTGTCCAATGTATTTGAAGAATTACTCTAGTAAACATTACCCTGACGTCGTAAACACTTTACCATAGCAAGACATTTAATTAATTAAATGTTTTTTAAACATTGCTGTTATAATTTAACGAACCATTTCCTCTATTTTACCAAATAAACACCCTGTAGTTGTAAAATTTAACCCTTTTTAATCTAATTTGTCACCTATTATTACTGCTGGTCAGTAATTACTTATTACCACTTCATAAAAGTCCAGGAACGAAAATGTTATGATAGCATACACAGTACTAGCCACTAATATGACGCATTTATTTTAACTTTTTTACAAAAGAAAAATAAGATGGAGATGAATAAAGATGGGTTTGCCCCATCAAAGATTATACTAGCCTATTTTCATTTCACATTATAATGTTATTTGCAAATAATAATATGATGATAAGAATATTAATAAAGGTTTATAAAATAATAACTTATTTTGAAAAGCTGAGATTCGAATAATGCCAATAAAATAATATTTTATTGATTAGCATCACTTTTTTGCATTCTATGTTCCATATTAATGGGTAAGTACTGTGCTATCATAAGTACCCACTAAAGATTTTGACGGATTTACCAATTTCCAATAACACATTCACTTAGAATTCAGACAGGGCTGCCAAAATGATATACATGTATCTGGTATAACCATAAAACTTAAACTAATATTACGCAATTCTTATCATAATACAACTTAGTTTGGACTACACAATAACCAAGTCCAGGTAACACATTCTTCGCGGGAAACGTAAAAGTAAGTACCAGTAAAATTAGATAAACCCTTGACCTCAAAAAAAGACGGATGACCTTTTTGTATACGTGTAGGACAATGCACGCCATATCTTGCGTTATACCACTTACTCTTTCACACCTTTGCCAGCAGAAATTGTTGTAGTCCCTGATAGTTTACATTACCCACAGTTGATTTGATTTTTTTTTTGTAGTTGGCAACAGGTGTCTTCATACCTTTAAAATGTTAATGCGCATGTCAAATCCACTCTTTGAAACCGTGCTTCATAAAAAATGGTGAAAATTTCAATTGATGACCGACGACACAACGCATTGGATACCGATACCCATAGAATACACTGAATAAGACCTACAATCACAACCAGATTATTTACCAATAAACCAGCATAATACCAGGTTTGGCAGCCCTTAGAAAATTACAAATTAATAAAATGTTAACAGCACCGCTCGCTCATCGCGAGGAGCTTTACCTTTATTATAACCACCCCCCCTGCCGCCGCCACTAAAACAATAAGAACAGCGTTTAGTACACTGGGCAGGCTGGGGACACACTGTACGGCCGCGGAGATTGATTGACACCTAGGTACACTTTTATAAGTGACCCGAGTCCGTGTTGCATCCTTTTCTTTACCATAATGTTTTATACCTTGACACCTTGAAAATCTTAGAACATTTTGTGATGATGTTAATATTACAATGTTTTTGACACATGCATGCTAGCAATAACAATGAAAATAATTTCAAGAATATATTGCAATCACACAATCTTGAAATTATTTGCATGCATTCATAAAGACTTTTCTAAATTCAACTTATACACTAGTAATTCAAATTCAAAACAATAAATTTCACTGAACGCCAATTAGTGAAACTTCATTTATCTTTCTTCTTACTAAAAACAATCTGACATTAATAAAGGTTAATATAATGTATACTAGTAACAGAAAGTTCAAAATCTTTCTATATTTCGTATTTCGCTTACAATCAATTAAGACAATATTAACCTTTATTAATATATCTAATTAAATCAGGAAAACGTAATTACTGCAAAAACATAAACCAAAAAAAGTTTCAAATTTTTCAATAAACAAAAAGAAATGTTCATTTTGTAATGATAAGATGTCTCCAATCACCACAGAAAGATGATCATGACTGCCCAAATTGCTTAACATAACAAAAGTATATACCTATACATAATATATAAATACATCTATACATAAGTATAACAGAGATCCTTTCCTTGATTGATTGAAGCCAGCGAAAAGATCTCTAATTTGAATGTTGTAATTTCAAAACTTTTTAGCAATACTTTAATATAAAATACGTTTCTTACTGATGATGATAACGATAACGAAATTATGATATCTAGAATCAACACACAACTATTGATTCAATAACTAGGACACAGATTTATTCCAAACCACCTGTTACCCATGACTTCGTCCGCATAGAAAATGATTCTTGTTTTAACCCATGGAGCATTTAATCAAGATAAAAAGTATCCAATAGGAACCTAAGTCAGCCCATTCTCTGACTGTATACTAAATTTCATCAAAATCCGTGCAGTAGTTCCAGTATGATTGATGGACAAACATCCAAACGAAGAAACTTTTGTAATGTTATATGATATGTGAAGTATTTTGTTTTTTAATAGCTATCCAAGTCATAATTTAAAAGTGCCGATATATAAAATATGGCCTTACAACTTACCATACATGATGACAAGTCAGTCAGTAACCTCAAAATAGTTACAGAATACATAATATTTGACAAAATTCACTGTGGGTCCCTAAAACATTATCCTTTTTAAGTTCAGTTCCATAGCTCGGCAAAGATTCATAGTAAATTCACTAAATATATTAGGAAACAGGCACATATTGGATAACAGTAACAAACAAAGTTCAATTACTTAAAAGCGGTAAGGTTTTGAATGAGTGTTGCACAGTAACTAATATCAGTTCCTGTAACCCAATACAATAATAAATTTTATGAATGGGAAAACACTAAGCATTACATAACATAACTTAACTCGTCGAGTACCGTCATTATAGACACAATTATAGAACAATAGGTTGCGGACACCGGTGACCGCTTGGTGTTTGACAGTGTAATCATTATAAATATTACTATGTTACTGAAAGACAATGTTAATAAATCTTAGGATTTACGAAATCAATAAGTAGAAACTTCAGTTTTATAATTAAGGGACATAAGCAATTAATATAATTGTTTATATGACTTTCACTAAACACAAACCAAATGCTACATTTAGTAATAGTATGCTAATGAACAGTGTGATTGCTCAAGATTATAATAATTTACATCCCTTGACAAAACCTCTCTAGATCAACAATCTCTCACACCGCAGAGAATGAATTACTAATCCGTGCTAGGTACTAGGTAGCATACAAGGAATAGCAATGAAGTGGTATCAGAGTGCACGGATAGATCTACATTCTAGATAAACATTGGGGCAAAAAGTACCTACATGTTAAAAAATTTAATAACACAATATGTGCCACTTTTACCCAAGTAATGCATTTAGAACCATTTGCAGAGAAGCTAGTAGTTTTATTTTATTTTTCCTTTAAAGTGTCTATGTAAACCAAAGATTCATAAACCAATAAATGTCTACAAAAATTAGAGGTACAGTTGTTGGGTTTTAAATAAATATCAACTAATTGCTTTTCCTTGTAGTTGATTCCTCAACAATAATAAGCACTTACTCATCCATGTTGCTGCCATCTAATTATAGAATTTCTAACATATATAGGTACATTGAAGGTAACATAATTATAATATATACCTATTCATTTAATTTTATTTATACATCACTACATAGTATAAAACCAAGTCGCCGTCTGTCTGTCCCTATGTATGCTTAAATCTTTAAAACTACACAACTGATTTTGATGCGGTTTTTTTTTAAATAGATAGAGTGATTCTTAAGGAAGGTTTATATGTATAATACATGCATATTGTACCTGTGCAAAGCTAGGGCAGGTTGCTAGTTTAATATGTATTAAATTGTAAATAATAGTTCCTATAAACCCTAAGATAACCAATTTATTTCAGTAACATGTGATTATAATTATATGTTAAATTCATAATACCTTTATAAACTAAATGCTAATAATATGTGTAGGAGAAACCCACACTATCTCTTAGAAAATAAACCGGAAGAAAACCATTAAAAACTTGTACAGTTTCTGCAATTAGTATGACCTTGTTGCTAGAATAAATTATGTAGCTCACCATTCAATACCAAGACTTGCAGAAATACTTCAGATGACATACATCCAGAAATAAGCCGACCTCAGCTGATGATGACAACAACATTTTAGAACAATATTAATCATCTATAATAATGCTGATAGCGTGATTCTGCAAAGCTACTCAATATAATAATTGAACCCAAGCATGTTTATTTTTATTACGTGACAGATATACAGAAATTTTTTTAACCAAAATGGCAAAAAGCACACGGCCCACCTGATGGTAAATGGTTACCAAGTGGCCTATGAACAATAAGTGTGAGTATTTCAGATTTCAATATAGCATAAAATGAGTTTATCTTTATTAGTTAAGTTTTGTTTGAAGCTTCAACAGCTTGGGTCCAAAAATTGTATTATATTTGCTATGGAGTAGCAGTCTACCTTGCCATTACAAATGGCTCATTTAACATGTGGCTTGTATTTGAAATAGTTAAATTTTGTACTGAACAAAATATAGATGAGTGAAACTTACCCATATCCACCATCTCTATTCCCCCCATCTCTATTGTAGCCTCGATCACCTCCTCCAAACCCTCCTCGATCACCATTGCCTCCACCACCAGAGTATCCTTGTCTGTCACGATCTCTGTCTCCACCATAATTTGATCCTCCACGGTCACCACCGCCATAGTAATTACTGCTGCCACGGTCACCACCACTTACATTGTAGCCACCGCTGTTGTTTCTATCATAACCACCTCCACTACCACCACTACTGTAGTTTGAAGAATCATAGCTTTGGCCATAATTATTTCCTTGTTGGCCACTTCCATAAGCATTACCTCCTGAAATTGTGTAAAATTTACATATAAGTAAACACCAGATAAATTAACCACAATGAGGCAAAATAATGATTATTAATTTCGTGTAATGACCCTAAATAGCAAATACCTACCACCAACTTGATAAGTACCTACCATGTTAAAATATTAATTGCAAATTTAATTGCACAAAACTAATTGTTCAAATATGTATGTCAAAAGGTTAGTAGATTGCTGAAATTAATTGGTACAGAATGTAACAAAGATTCCTTACCGGTGTTTGGTTGGTTCCAATCTTGGTTTTGGCCAGAACCATAACTGCTTTGATATCCCTGACCAGAGCCAGAATAACTATTATCACCAGAAGCCATAGCTGGTGGTGGAACAGAATATTGAGCAGAGTATCCACCACTATAATCACCCGCTGTTAAAATAAATTTAATGAGTTAAAATACAACAAAAATGAACAACTATGAAAACTAGGAACAAAATATAATCAATAATACTTACGGTCACCCATATTAACTAAATCCTAGATTAAATGCTAGAAGTTGATCAAGAAAGCGTGGCCGTGTGTCAATGAAATCAACGAACAAGAACCACACAGATCACGAACGGCAAAGTTGAACAGACCAACCAGGCAACCACGCCACGCTACGCTACAATGGCGCCCCCCGCCAGGCCGCCATTCGTATTCGCGTAATCGTTTCTCCCAATTTTTTTATTGTCTATGAATGATGAAATTTGAATTCTATAATTTTAGTCACTTTTAGCTTGCCTATCTCAAAATGAAGAAATATCGAATAAACCCCGATAATTTATCGATTTTAACTTGATTATTTATCCAAAAAATGGATAAATATTGTGCGCAGTACTTACGAAGTATCTATTTATCCGAAAAATCACCTATCTCTAGCCTTTATCCTACGTCACTGATATATTATTAGTTTTCACAGCATTTAAACACGTGTTTTAGTAGGGAAACTAAGGAATAAAATATGTATTTTAATAATTTCATGCCATTCCACACTGATTTATGTATGTGCCATTTATATCAGTTAGCAACCAATAAAGTTGTTGAGAAGCCGCGTCCGTTCAAATAATATTAGTCTATGATCTAGGTCATTATAAGTAAGTTGACAGAAATAAAATTTGTAGTTGAACTGCAACTGTCACTGTCATTGACGTTCGACCGACTTGCGAAAGGAGAACCACTAAATGCTAAAATTACTAAAATAACGAACAAACACAAGGCGAAATTACTTATCTTTCATTATTTTTATTTATAGTGGAATATTTAGAGACTACAGAACAAATTTCTTCAAATATACTGTTTGATTTCATCGTGCAGTATATTGCTCATAATTGCCGAATTTATAATGTCTTCATATGTGGATATGAGTTTAGAAGATATAATTAAAAAGAAGAGACAAAATACGAGGTAAAATTCGCAATTTATCAATCTGTTTCGCCTTGGCCTATGATAACTTGAATGCATTATGGTAATTCATTATATTTTCTTATTGTTACAGGGTAAACAAAGCTAAAGTAAAAGGACAACCTCCACCCAAAAAGTTGCCTATTACTGACGCTAGAAATAAAATAATTTCAAAAAAACGTACACAAATAACAGATGCTAGAGAGAAGTTAGCACAACTTGCTAAACAGAAAGATGCCAGATTAAAATTAGAAAAGTTACGTCTCGAAAGGGTAAGTAACCACCTAAATGTAAATAGTGAAATACCAAAACTTATTGACTTGTTGATTTTATCATGATTAACCTCCAATTTTTATAGGCAAGAATCACTGGGCCTGGTCCTGTAAGAAATACTTTCCCAAACAGAACTAAATTTATGAGGACAAACCCACCACCTAAAGAAAGAGGTAATTCTTGTGTGTAAAATGCTTGACTTACAGAATGCGACCCGGCATTAAGTCCGCCATCATATTAAACTGTCAAATACCAAGCGGTCACCGGTGACCGCAACCTATTGTTCTATAATTGTGTCTGCAAAACCGGTACTTGACGAGTTAACCTATAACTACAGAAGTATAAATAAATAAAATGCCTTGATGCATGAACCAATGTTTTCATACATTATATTCAAATGGAAGTTATATTAAATCATCCATCAGTTAAATTAACAAGAAATTCAACAATTATCTTCAAATTCTCAGATATATCTTCATCAAGCCAACAAAATAAAAAAAACTATGTTCAAATTGTATTGTTTATGTTGTTATTCAATGATATTTTTATTGACACAGTATTTACAGATTCTTCAAGGCAGGTGGTTTCACAGCCATTTGGTGTAACTAAAATGGGTGTCAAGCGTCATATTAATTCAGGAAGAATCAATGATCGCCGCCCGGTAGAGAAGTCGAGATTTTTTGGTAATTCTTGTTATTCTAATACTTAAAATGGGCTTTAATAATAATCAATGTTTACTACACACATTATATAAATTTGACATTGTGATTATACCTCTCATATCCAATAACAATAAAAGGTGTGTCCTCCAACCAAAAAGTTATCATCCACTGGGCACAATTCAAACCTCATATAGAAATAAAAAATTGTGAATTTGAAGACTTATTTCAACATTTGCTCATCATTTTGCATAAGATTGTGAAATAAACTTTCATATATTATTTTTTTTACTATTTTTAATATAAAAAAAAACCTATAAACAAATTATATTTTATCCATTTATGTATTATTTTATTATATTTTAGAACAAATTCAACAAAAACCAAAACCAATACTTCGTACTGTTGAAAATGATTTGGAAATAATTGATGATCCTATGGGAGATGAATATATACCCAAAGCAACTTCATTAAACCGCAAAGCAAGCTTGCAGCTCAAAATTGTTGCTCATAATAATGACATCCGAGACTGCAGGGTTGCTACTATTCATAGGTAATTATTTTTTATTAAAATCTATATTTCAATCTTTATTTGGCTTCCAACATAAAAATTGAATGGTGTGGTATTTGTAAATTTCAGTTATTGAAAAGGTACCATAATACACATACATATACTTGATTTTCAGAAACACCATTGTAGAAAAGGAGAAAAGTCCACCAAGGCCACCGTCTATTTTGAAAAAGCGCCCAATGGCAGCTATGCGAAGTGACAAGGTTCAAAAACCGGAAAAGCCACATTTGGAGTATAGAATTATTGTGAGCAATTTACGAAACACAGTCACAGGTGGAGATATTGAGGTAGGTTACTTTTGTTTATTTTTTGAAAGAGAATTTGGTCATAGCATATTCATAAATTTTTCTTCCCTTCAGGAATTGTTTGGAGATGTTGGTGGGATGGTGGAGTCAAGACTGGTGCGACCTGGAACAGCTGAAGTGATCTACAAAACTCAAGAAGATGCACAGAAAGCAGTTGATTTGTACCACAATAGACAGTTAGATGGACAGCCAATGAATTGTCTACTTGTCACACCAAGATCACCATCCACAGCACCCAGGTACAAATGTTGTTGAAATAACCATTAGCAGCTGAACATGAGATTCAAAGATATGTTGCATGCCCTATTATTAAGGATATTTTAAAATAGGTATTTTTCTTTTTTCCAGAACCAGTAACAAGCCTGAACTATATAGCACAAATTCAAATGTTGAGCCTGACATTTCTACTTTCCACAAGGTATTATTCAGTAATTTGTAATTTACTTTTATGAATATTTTTCATTTCATGTTCACTAGTGAGTCACTTGCAATATCAAACAGAATTGTTAACTTTAAAATTGTGTATATCATAATTAAAATGGTGTTTGTGAGCAATTTATAATTTGTGTTATCTAGTACCTTAGTTATTTTGTCCCCATTTGTAACTTTGTGAATAAAATTTAGGATTCTAAGAAGATCTATCATTGTAAGTGAACAATTTTATCTTCAAAATACTGAGCCTGACCACTGAACTGCAGCCAATTCTCTTACAACTACAAAAAGAGCTGTCTTTGTGAAGTTATAACTATACTTTCAACTATACTATTGTTTATGACTGATAATAGGGACATTAAAGAGTATCAAGAATTTTACTCTTAGTCCCCCCTTAGTAGGTAAGGTATATGATTAGATAAAATTGTATTTTCAACTTTTTGTAATGTTTGGCGGCCTCGTATGTGAAATTAAAGATGTTTAAGAGAATAATATGTACCTCGATTTTTTCCGACTACGGCAGGCTAAATATACCATATTATGTTGTAGAATTAATACAGTACTTGGCAGACCTATGTATTCCGTAATCCAGTTTGAATAAATTAGCATTTTGTAAATTCATTTCTTTTGTAAATTATAAAATTTGCGTAAATGTTATATACATAAGACTTGCCTACCATATCTTATAATAAAAATGTATCCAATCTATTGTTTCCTTTCCTATCTTGTTCATGAGAGTTTAAGTTTATCAAACATAAATAATACTGAAAATACAAGTTACATACCTATATAGAAAAGTAACAAATCTTAATACCTATTTAAAATCTGGAAAAAGAAAATACAATTGAGATTTTAAATGCAAATGTATGAAAATCGTTTTCACTTCATGGTTGCACAAGATTGAACATGACTGCACGGTTGGTGCGGTGGCTGGGCAACCGGCTGCCGTGCAACGTGTCGCGGGTTTTATTCCCGCACGGAACAACACTTTGTGTGATCAACAAATTGTTGTTTCGTGTCTGGATGTCATTGTGTATGTGAACTTGTATGTTTGTAAACGCACCCACGACACAGGAGAAAATCCTAATGTAGGGGGCAAAGTTTTTAAAAAAAAAAAACTTATCAAATACTTTGTTTTTGTAATATGAGTATAATATTTTTCATGTTGTCAACTTAAGTTACAATAATAAAAACTTTTTGTAGTTGTAAATACGTATCGTACCCCCGGTGCTATACCGTCACTTATGTATTGCGGGGGCCCGCGCGCAACTGAACAATGGAACGTTGTTTTTCCTAGTGCCGTCCAGATTAGCGCCAAAACCGTAACGACAGTAATGCCCTCACAATGTCAGTTTGCTTACTACACAAATGACAATAAATAACGCACCAAGTAAAGAGGTGAAATTGGAGTATTCTTTCATCAGTTAAGTTTTGACAAAAATTGCATAAGTGACGATGCACCGTAGGTGCTGTATTTCCAATGTCTTATTAGTTAATGAATGAAAAACCCATATATATAAGCAATGAAACCTAATCAACACATTTTCGTACTTATTATAATAACAATTGAAGCAAGTACATGGCGTAGTGCTACCTGTGCTACTTTCCGCACGTGCGATTTCATGGAAATCGTAAAAATAAAGAATGTGCATGTTAAATGTCCAATCATTTATAAAATCGCACTGTGTGGATTTTAGGTTTATGAATCTTTTGTTAATGCTCAAACCTGATTTCATACGAGTATCATTGCTTGAACGTGAATCATTGTTGCATTCTTACATTAGAATTAGAAACTAGGTACTTTGAATTTAATAATTTGATATAGATTTGTTGTAAGAAATAAAATTAACATACCTACATAAAACTTGTTTATTTTTATTTATTTACAGGTGAACTTAATTCCTTATGGCATTATATAACAGTTGAACTTTAGGTGAGGCAGAAATGAGAGTAGTACGTGTTATTTTAAAAGAATTAGAATTGCTATCCCGAAACTAAAATCCTAGGTTTTGATGTGACCTCCGGAGCATAGCTGGGCATTAACTCGTTAATCCGTTAATTAACGAAGTTAACACTTTGATTAACGGATTAACTTTTAAGTTAACTTTTAAAAATGTTAACGGGCACGTTAACTTCCGTTAAAATGCAGAAGTCCGTTAATCGTTAATTTAATGTCTACTATTTACCGCACGGCACCGCGGCGCGGCGCGAAAAGCAGACAACTTATGATATGACAAGTGCCGGGTGGCACGTAGCAGCGCGTGAAACAAAAACAAAACTAGATATATTTGGCCGGCGCGTGCGAGTGAGAAAACTGTGAAGATTTTTTTTTCGTTTGATCATCATTACTAGCGCCGGTGCTTACAGTGACGAGCGGTAGTAATTAAAATCATATCATGGAAGACATGGAATCGAATTCCAGCGATGCTGATGAGAATCCATGGCCACATTTGACTAAGTATGTGGAATTTGTATCCAGATCGGGGCAGCAAATAGGTACTTTTTGCATATAAGCGATGCTTGCCGAAAGATACCAAAATAAAAGTTCATGTCTCAAGCCTGAATAATTGGAAACAACATGTAAGAAGGGTACATGAATCACAGTACGTACAGTTTGAAGAGATTGTTAAGGCGGGCTTTAACCGGGGCAAGGAAAAAAGGAGAACTCATTCTGATAATGATAGCACAAGTAGCAGTAATCCTAATCCTGTTAAAAGAAGAATACAACAGGGACGACAGCTGACTGTCGGGGAATCTTTCGGGATTGTAGCTACTGGCAGTGGCAAAAATGTAATTTTACACATATTAACGGATTAACGATTAACGTTAACTTGCATTAATTCTTCCGAAATGTAACGGTTTAACGTAGTTAACTTTTTTTGTAGCCGATTAACGAAGTTCACTATTTAATTAACCGTGCCCAGCTATGCTCTGGACTTCCGGAGTAAGTCTAGAGCACAGACTACTTAGAGATACTACGTATGTCTAGAAGTCTAGAGGATCCATCGCCTTTACAGGTGTTGAGGGTTGCTAGGTAGGCGTGGTTTTAATAAAGTGAAAATCCCACACTCCCCAATAAGCGAGTGGCCTTCCTTAGGAACGTTTCCCTGTCATAAAAATAATTATATTTAGATGTAGTAGGTAGGTAAGTTCTTTCAATACGGCCCTACGCATCAAATACCATGAGGATAAAATAAAAGTACCTACACATAATGGCGGCGCAGCAAGTAACCACCAATATTATTGTTGAAATTTAACAAACAGTACCTACAGTAGGTACCCCTTCGAATCCCAAGAGCTATGCATAGAGTTAAATAATATATCGGGTATGGAGCTATGCATGGCATGGCACAGGTTTATGTATCCCCTATACTTATTATACTACTCTGTTATGGTGTACATAATTTTTTCAAAGTGACAGCTTTGGTTGCAAGTCACGTATTTCCAACAGTACAATTTTCTACCAGTTACTGGTTGTTAAAAAAGTCAAAACTTAAATGGCAATAGGCTCACCCCCTATTACATGGGACTCGTAACATAGATAGTGAAAAGTGGGTGTTACATTGTACAGTGGTATTAAGTGCCGTAATGTGCACCTCTGTCTACTCCTTCGGGGATAAAAAGGCGTGATGTTATGTATGTATGTCAAAACTTAAATTATATATTTTTTGCTTTTACTTTTTACAAGTACCTAGTAGGATATTCAGAAATTATTCAGAACCGTACCTACGTATTATCCCTAAGGTAAACTAGAGCAAGTGCTTAGGCGTCAAAAAAATTAGGGGCGCTCCCTAGGTTTAATCCGCCACTGACTATATTTATTGGTTTTCATTTATATATCGGTCAATTAGTTGGGTTTATTAGCCCCTTTATTACTTGGGTTCAATTAATTAATCAATTAGCCCCTTTATTACTTGGGTTTACATAAATTGTTTTCGTTGATTTTTAAACAAAAATTCGTGACACGTTTCCCTATATCAATTCCAAGGAACTTATAGGTAAAGCCTTTATGTTCCTTGATCAATTCATTGCGTTTCCCGCTTTTTTCATAGTCTATGGTATTGGGCATAGAGTTTTGATTATACGGTCTCTAACTCTATAGTCTAGTCTATGTCTACTCTAGGTGCTTGCTTACTCTTTGCTTTTTTACACTTGGTATTTTTTTCATTCATCATTGTCTTTGGCTATGTTATGTTGATCAGTTGTCCAACAATATTTGGGTCGTTTTTCCGTGTTACTTACTATAAATAGAACAATATTATAAGAAATTTAAAGCAGTTACAAGAAGTTAAAAGTAATATAAATCCAAACCTCCAAAATGGATAGAGAAGACGGTGAAATGAGTGATGATAACGCAATGGTGGTTGATGATGTAAAGGAACCAATTTCATACACTGATGATTGTACCTTGGTAAGTAAATTAATTATTATTGATTTAATGTAATTAAAGCATTTACATAATATTAATGTTTCAAAGTATATGTTTCCATTTTAGGACCAATAATGTGAACTTACGAAATCAATAAAATCATGTGGTATTTTTGTTGTGATCTCCAGGTGTACAAAGCTGACAAAGCAGGATTAATCGTAGAAAAATTAGAAAAAGTGGATGCCTCCAAAATAGAAGAACGAGCAAAAAGATTTGGTTTAAATCTTACAGGAAATAGAGTAATCACACAGAGACAGATTGATGAACTTTATTCGAATTTTGGTATAGAAAGTGGAAATGAGAGACATTTTCGTTTTGATGCAATCAACTTACATGGAGTTGATGGACTTTCTACGAAGGAAATATTTCAATATTTAGAAGACTACAAACCTGTGTCTCTGGAATGGATTGATGAAGTATCATGTAAGTATCATTATAATATTAAACATGGTATTTACGTGGTATTTTTTACTAATAGAGAATAATGCTAACTATTTTTAATTTAATTTTCAGGTAATATTGTTTGTCAGGATCATATATCAGCAGCCTTGGCATTACTAGTGCATTCTAGAGAAATTAAAGATACCAATTTGAAGGAAATGCTTGCTGCTAATCCAAATCATCATTGGCGTGAAGGTATGCCACATCCTAAAAAAGATCTTATTTTAATGAGATTTGCTACTAATGGAGACAAGAAAATGAACAAAAAGAAACCTCATAATAAAAATACAGAAGAATATGGTGATCAAAATATGGATGCAGTAAGTAAGAACCCATGGGGTGACCTCTGTAAATCTTGGGGAGTTTATGATCACCAAGAAGTATTTCAACGTAAGCCTAGATACAATAATGATGAAGATAATGATTTAGAAGAACCAGATAAAATTGTAAAAATAAAAAATAAAAGTTTAGCTAGCCGCCTTGGTAAGAGGCATGCTAATAGGGACAACTATGACAATGAAGAAGCTGAGGAAAGTGATTCAGATTCTGAATGGAAAACTAAATCAAAAGCACCTCGAATGAGAATGCATGCAGATGATGAAGAGTCTAAACGAAAGAAAAAGCAGACTTCCCAACGGATAGCTAAGGATTCAGATGGATATTCCGCATTGTCAATTGAAGTAGAAAATTCCCACAGTAATTATAAGCCGAGAGATCACACAATCATATCTGACAAGTTTAAAAGGAACAATGTTTATAGAAAAAAACATGGTATTCAGTCAAGGTTAGGTGAAAAAGTAATAACTGTGGAGGATAATGAAAGTTTTTCAAGTGATGAAGTATCAGATAACTCTGATAGTTATGTTATGAGTAGAGTGCATAAAGTCAATTCTAGTAATAATAGTGTATGGTCAAGATTAGATAGGAAACCCTCTAGCACTAGAAATACAAGTGATCACAATGATTTACGGCAAATTTTGAAATCAAGGAAACATGGGAAGTCTGATGACCTAAGAGACAAGTTAGGTAAATCTAAACAAAGTAACTTGCGTATTGAAATTGACAATAATTATGCACATGATGATGAAGATTTATAGTGTTTATTGTAGGATAATTTTATATTACAAATAATGTTCTCCTTTTATTTTGTTTATAAGATGTTAGCTCCGAGGTACTGCAAAGCAAATGAATTTGTACATAATATGGTACATACACATAGATGTATTTACAATGTTGTTTATGTTAATATCCATGGGTATTAGTGCAAATTCTCTTTAGTTTGTAGATATATACATATTTAGATTATGAATGCATGCTTCTTACAGGTCAGTGCAATTAATGGAAATGTCACTAAGCACTAAATGTGAGAACAATAATTGTTTTCTGTGTATGCGAACAACAAACACCATGCGAAAGTTTATTACATATTTGTTGAATGAATATTTTCATTTTGAAGTATAAAGTTTGACCACCTGTCTAATCAAATTGAAATATTACAGACTAACATGAAATAAATGTAATGATTTAGTTTAAATTAACTATTAATTAAGTGATTACTAAATGTAGTATATAAAATCTTTAAATTAATTATAGTTGAATGAATTTTACCAACTTTCTAATGTACTTATGTTATAATAGGACTGCATAATCAATTGAATCATATTATTCAGTTATGGTGTTGTTAATTTTTGTTGGATTTATTTTATTTTCTACACACATACATGAGCGATATCAGATACAGCATTTCAAGTTTTCAAGTGTCAGTGGTCATGTCACTATCACAATGTCATAAGGGCATCACAATGTAACATAATAAAATCATATTTTAATGTTTTGTATTAAATTAAATGGGGGTTTTAATTTATTGATATTTTATGCTTGGTTATGAAATGCTGCATCTTGGTATTTAGATCATGTACACATGTTACTTGTGACAATAAAAACTGCAATAAAAGATTTTAAGAAAATAAGGTGTTACTTTTAACTTAGTGTAGTAAAATTTTCTGATACCAAAACAGCAATGGTGCACCATTTTTAATTTGGAATTAAATCAGCATGTCTTTTTAATTTTATCTTTCTACATATACAGTACATGAATAGGATAAATAAAAAACCGGGAGTAGGATTTTTTAAATGAAATTCGTTTCAACTGGAACTCAATTTTTATTGTTATTTGTTGTGCATTAGAATAAAATTATTTTTGTGCTATTTCGCCAAACAAAAATTGTGTTGTTAGTTAGCTCAATAAAAAGTGTACTGTCCGTAATACCTCTATTACAATGAATTAGTCGTACTACAAACTAAAAACGAAATTAAAAAATAAAATGTATCAAAATAAACGATCAAGAAATGTGGGCGCAAAAGACTAGCTATTAGTAAATCTACTATAAAAATAATTTTAAAAATATAATATGTTTTGATGCGTTAGCATTTAGCAACAAATATAATAATATGTATTTCGATAATTCGGAAGACGAGTATTAGAATTGACTACAATATAACAATGGTACTCATAGACTTATGGGTGGAATATGAATAATGATTGTGTTACAGTTCTTGGGTATATATGTATGTATAAGTTGTGTGGATAATTCCTGTATTTCGTCTAAAGCCTCTAGTGATATTGATGATGTACAAACTTATAATGACACTTAATTAACGCAAAAAGCCAGTAAATTTGACAGTACTTACAAAATTGTACTATTGCCTGATGATGTACTAATGAAAATTGTGATTAAATTAATTGTATCCAAATTTGTTGTCTACATTTACTTTTACATTAATAGATAATAAATATATTTTTCTATTACCGAAACGTCTTTTTTTACTTTTAGTATCTTAAAAAAAAAATGAAAAATAGTACTTAGCCTGTTACTGAGTAAGTATAATACTGACAATTTATTATTTTATTCCACTTTAAACTTCCACTGCCAATTGAATAGTATTCTTAAGTACACAGTTATTATATTACTTAATGTGATATTATACATTGTAAAACTTAACAGTAATAAAAATAAAAAAATAAAATATATTGCCTGTTTCAGAAAAAATACAAATGTTTTTATAATTTTAATAATTAAAGCATTTCTAATAATACCAATTATTTTAGGCACTTGTTAGTAATTATGCGATCAATTCGAATATAACTTAAAATAATTTTGGTGCATATTGTTATCTATATTGCAATGTGCACTTGCTGATTGACTACTAATTATATTTCCTATCATTATGCGTTCTCCAGTACATAGCTGGCACAAACTAAAGATAGTCAACAGATCAATTCTTAAGATAACTTTCTACACATCTAAATTCTGGCACGTAATTTCCACATTTCAATTTTTGAAATGATAACTTGTTCTTATAATTCAACTTTGAGTTGGATATGAATAACTTTCCCAATATTTTAATGTGTATAAATAAAATGTATAATATAATTAGTGGAATGTTTCAGTCTTACGTATAAGTACGTGCTACGAGCTTATAACGAAACATAACTTATTCATGCCAAAAATGATTTAATTTGGATGAAAATAATAATAAAATTAATGTGTCCAGAACTCATACGTACTATCATTTTACTCTTTTCTCTTTATCTTTTTCTTTCTCTTCTTTGCGATCACTTGAATCTTCCTTCTTTTTAGAAATTAATGTATGTTTTGCTTTCTTCAATTGTTTCTTAACTTTGTCCTTTACCTTACTTTTTTTGGGAGTTGGTATTACTTCAACTGATTTCATGGATGAACTGTTTGATTCACTATTTCTTTGGGCTGAAAAAGTAAAAGGACCATAATTAAAATACCACAAAAGTCACAAGGACTCTAACCGCGACATTTAATTTCGTGATCCAATTTTCAACTGAACTAGGTCTCGTCTTACCTAATGATAAATAACTAATTACGTTATTAATTTTAATATTGCATACCTCTCTTATTGGCGATAGAAGCCGCAATAGCCAAATCCTCTTGACGTTCGCGTCGACGTTCTGCATCAATTTGCTGAACTAATTCATCACGCATGCGAACTATTTCCACAAGCCGTAAAACCAATTTTTCTTCTCGGGCCTGTAATGAAATTAAAGATATACAAATTAAAATAAATATTAAGATTATAATTGTGTTGATGATCTAAGATGATAATAGGGTCGCCCTCTGTTACGTAGGACTCGTAACATAATATAGGAAAATGAATGTGGCACCTATGCGTATGCTTCGGGAATTAAGAAACATAATGTTATTTAATTATATTCACATAGAGCGATTAGAACATGTATAATACTTATAGTTAACATTTAATATTACAAGGAAGGAATTACTGATACAATATGTTTTCCCTCTGAGTCATATAGCTCTTATGTATCAGTTTAATTTTATTATTTTCTAGGATTAGCTCTGATATGCATAACGTATGTGAACAATAGAATTGATGGTTTACCTTATCCGCATCGATGCGGTTAACGGCCGGTCGTGATTGAATGATACGTATTTCATGTTCAATGTCAGCTTGTTCTTGTTCCAACCGTTGTTGTCGTCGTCTGTAATAAGAAACAGATAAAAATTATTAGTTCTTATAATATACAGAGAGGTCGAGGTGGCCCGGAGGTATAAGACGCCCACTGACAAAGGGTAAATGAAAACGTCGTGAGGAAACCTGGGCTTATAATTTCTAATTATAAGTTTGCAATCGCCAACCCGCATTGATCAAGCGTGGTGATTGATGCTCAAACCTTCTCCGTGTGAGAAGAGGCTTTGCTCAGCAGTGGGAATTTGTAGGCTGTTGATGATGATGATATACCTCTATATATCATCATCGTCAACAATGCACATCATCAGCAATGGAATGCACTTTTGGGGTCTCGTAATTGCGGTTTTAAGGATACACGTTATTTGGCACAGAGTGGGTTGCAGTGCGTTGTAATAAGCCTAAACCTTTTAACTAATCTAATGATATCTAACCATGCATGGAGATTATGGCAAGCATAACAATGTAAAGGAGGTTCATAGTCCAACTGGACTGTTGAATTGTTGATTTTGTAAATCCACCAATATTTTAAAATCCAATAAGAGAATTTTTGGTCCTTCGATTTGAAGTAAATATTTATGTCATTTATTTTTGTACCAACAAGTATCATAGAGACATTAAAATTTGAATTGTTTATTGTCTCATTAACCGTATTTTGTCCCACGACTGTGGGAATCAGGTGTATAGCATTTTAAATATTGACCAACTCTTAAGACATATATAAATGTATGTTGTTTTTAAACAAGGCATTCAGATAAAGAAATAAAAAAATGAGTGACACAAACACAACACAAATTTTCTTTGCGTCATAAAAATAATTAATATGAACAGGTATAATAATATGAAAAGTCGATTATAAGTAAGCAAAGTCCATTTTATTATCTGGAGGGGGGGGGGGGATACTCTAGTCCATCACATGTTACTTACATGTACATCAATTCAGTTTGCTTTCTGAACAAGTCGTTTTTCTCATTGACTAGTTCACACAGTTGAATGACTAAATCTTCGACTTCCTCTTGTGGCACCGTTTCAGCCTCGTCACCTGCAATGGACACGTGCATTGTTTATCAAGAGCATGCTTATAAACACCAAAGACGGATACACTTAAAAGATAGTGATAGACAATACATTAAATTAAGTAAGTACTACAGAGAGAAGATAGGTAATTAAATTATAATTAATACGAAGTGTATTTTTTGTATACCCAACAAGACATACGTACGACCGAAATTAGTAACCATGTAACATCTTAGAATTGAGACTAGTTATAAGGAGCTTTTGTATAAAATGATATCGATCGATTATTAATTTCGGCCGTTAAAAGACTATAGATTAGGTATATTTACAGAGTTATAGAGAGAGTGAGTGCTCAAATAGAAATAAATGTGCCTGATCATGTTTACCCTCACACTTGTCGCGAATCATGCGTTCTATGAGCACGCCTTGACGCTCGAGGCCAAGTTGTTGAGTCTCCAATAGGTCCAATTGTACTTGTAATTCTTCCGGCGACATTTGTAGTTTGACCTCGCGACGTTCTGGCAGTGGTAGGCCTGGTGCAGGGCCCTTAGTTTTTCGTCCACCTAAAATAAATTTGTATTAACTTATTCGTGTTAGTATTGATTTCAATATTGATAACTTTAGGGTTGGCGTAGCGGCTGCACCAACGTATCTAGGTGCTACGTAACGTATCTAGGCCTCGATTCCCGCCACCAAACAATATTTTTCCTGGGACTCACAAATTGTTATTTGGGGTTTGAGTGTGATATAACTGGGCAAACGCATCTACGGTACAGGGCGAAATCACAATGTTGGACAAAGTATTTTAAAATGCAATATGTACTTGTGTGTAGACCTTCGGAATTGATGCTCCTCATACCAGAATTGTTGATGCCTTTCTCCAAGGAACCGTATCCTCCTGATAATGTCGACAAACTGTCAGGTGGGGTCGGTGCAGGCCGCCTCTTCTTGAGCGTTGGCGTAGACTTGCCGATCGATTTCTATAAGAAATATGCATATTATATTAATCAGTAACCAACTTCAATTTTATAAAGATATAATACATTTTATATCAAGGAAATATAAGTAAAGTGTAACAATAAAAATACTGTAATATTGCGTTTTAATTTCGCACGCATTTATCACAATAAGCATTGTTTCGCAAACATCTGTGTCGTCATAATCATAATGAAACCGGTAAAGATAAATTGATCACGTAGTCGAAGAGATATTTAATAAGTGAAGCGTGTTATGATTTTATTGTATTGTTGATTGAGTGGTCCCAAGCGGTTGGTGAGCAAGGGGTCTCGGAGTCGAAACCCAAGTACACATTTTTCGAAAACACTGTATTAGTATTGAGTTTAGAAATGTCTATAAAGCTTACCACCTACCAGACGCACTTTTGTTGATATTAAAAGGGGTAAACCATGCATCATTGAAAGAAAATAAAATAGTATACTCACTTGGTCAGAGTTAATGGTGGAGTTGTATGAGCTCAAAGAGGATATGCTGGCGACATCGTCCATGGAGTTTGTAAGCGCCGGGTTTTGTAGTCGCGGCGCCTCTGTGATAGATATGGCTGGGGGCGGCGGCGGCGCCTTGCCCTTCTTCCTTCGGGGTGTACTTCCAGGGAGATTCGGAGTGCTTGTTGCCATTGAAGATCTATACATTGAACTGAAATAAACATAATTCATGTCAAGTTAGAGCCTGTTTCACTACTATTGTAACACTTTTACTTTAGTAACAAAATATTAACCAAAAGTTTTTTCTTATCTCTTAGTAATTTGTACATTGTATGTAAAATAATTTCGGTTTCAGATACACATATGTAATAGTTTCCCTTTACCTATTATTGTGTGTTTCTTCTTCATCTGAAGAAGGTTCTTCGCCATCGGACCAGAACGGATTGACTGCAATAAGCCTTTTACTGCAATAAAACAATATTCATGACTTATCATATCTGTACTGCTACCTACTGTGTTACGGTTAAATGGTTATGCAATTGATTAGATGATAAATGCATTACAAATAGCTAGCTGGTTACAAAATTAATTGGGTTGAATGTTCCGAGTTCCGACATACTATGAAATAATCTAAGTTCGTAATAAATTTCCGTTTATCACGGGCGACTGCAACATGCGCTGTATAACGAACAGCCTTTGATATAATGTAAAGACCTTCATATTGTTCTTTTGTTGTATTGAGACCAACTGTATACTATGTAGTCGTAAAGTATTGTACTTATTTACCGTTGTTACGACATTACAAATTGACTTATTCCGTTTATTTTCCGATAATCTGAAAGTATTTTCTGACAGATTTAGAAAGGTTTTGAACAATCTTTAAGTAGGATAAGAATATTGTAAGTAGGTATCTAAAACCTTGGAAAAGGAATGTTTAACACATACCTTTACAAAAAATGTAAAGAATTTTTATTTGAATGTCATAATCTCTGATTTGATACTGTGAGATTTGATAGGCTATTTCCGGCCGACGTTTTATCTTTCTAACATCGCGGTTTGGCTCATAGACATGGGGTAAAGTGGTAATATCGGACGCTGGTTTAAACAATCTATAAGTTATATTGAATTACTCACACTGGTGTCGTAGTCTCAGGTTTAGGAGCTTGTGGAATGGGTGGCACATCATCGTCTTCTTCGTCGCTGCTACCAAAAGGATTTGTACTAACTTTTTTAGTTGAAGGGGCAACTTCCTTGAAAGCGAAAAGAAGAGAAAACGTTATTACACGCAACTATGTGAAATATTAAATAATTAAAGTGATGGTAGGATATTACCTCTTTTTCATCATCATCCGAGAAGGGATTTAAATGGTCAGGATACTCTTTGCTGTCCAACTTAGATTCTTGTTCCTTTTTCATAGCAGTGGCTAAAGCTTTCTCCAAAGCATTTTGTTTCTTTCTTCTTGGAGGAACACTTATACTTATTTCTGGGTCTGGTTGAGTTTCTGTGGGTTGTTGTATTTCTGGAGGTCGTTCTATTTCTGGAGATTGTTCCATGACTGTGGATGAGCTGTTGGCTATTCTGTTATCATCTGTTACATTGCTAGTCTTTGTATGTACACTGCTGCTTGCATCGTTTATGTCCTCTACACTAATTGTATTATGGTCAATTGTATTAACACAGTCTTTGTCTTTGTTACTTGTTTTGATTACATCTACAGTTTCGATAGTATTATCATCATTTATAATGTCTTCCGCTAGTTGTGTTTGTAGAAAATTAAACTTCTCCATGTTACTTTTGTACACTTTCTCTGGAATATTGTTGCTTAGTATTTTTTCGTCTTCCATTTTCGTAGTCGTACTTATCAATTCCGGTTGCGTGTCTGCTTCACAATGAGATCTACTAGTAGTGCTAAGTTCTTCAGATTTACTAATACTATTGTCTTTTAAAGAAATATTTGAGATTTTGTATTCAATATTAGTATCTTTTTCTATATTTTTTTCGAACATGTTAATTTTGTCTACAAAGTGACACATAGTTTTAATTAATAACTGGTTATAGTAACATGACAAAATGATATCAGGAATAATTAATAAGGAAATAAGATACACATATGACAAACATAACAAAAGCATAGATTTACATCCAGTGATTAAAAATATTAAAATGTTCTTATGCTTGTTGCAAAATAAGAAAACATTCAAGATATTGAAAGGAGCATTCAGTTTGTAGTCAACAAAGAGAGAACATGATGCAGAACAGAAATTAGCAAATGTTCCGGAAATGTTATCAATTTCGTAACTCCAAACTAATCCTATTAACTATTCAATCATATCGATCATGTTGTATAACAACACAATTAGCAACAGTAGCGTATTACATGAATTTGATAAGATTATTATATTTATGACTTTGTTTATGGTTATTGACATTTATATAGAACATAGTTTAATTAATGTATTTAGCATAATTAAAATGAAGCACTCACCCAAAATAGACTGTGGTCTTGGTTTGTTTTTAGGAATAACTGACTCCTCATTTGAGACTGATTTGGTCTCATTCACAGTGTCAGTGAATGCCAGCATTCCCATTTGATCATGATCATTATTATTAAGATATTTTGATAAAGTCTTTTCATTTTTACAACTATCACAGGTAAATTCAGATCCTTCAACTATCTCGAAATTCTTAGGATTTAGATGTCCAGAGCACTTAGAACAACGGAAACATCTTCTGTGGTACAGTTTGTGAGATACGAGTAGACGCTGAGCAAGGTACACAGGCAGGCCACATGCTGCACATTTGTCTAGACCAGTCTTGCCAAACCTTATTGGTGCCTACAAAGTAGTATAAAGATAGGTGTTAAGGTAGAAAGTATTAGAGAAAACAGAAAACAGATTCATTGCAAACATTGCACACATCTAGAAAGTTAAAGTTAAGAAAGTATACATTAACAATTGTCATACTAACTGAAGACTCCGCACTGGCTGTTTGAGGCGATACCTTGGACTCACTTTCAGATACTTTTGCATTCACTGAAAAAAAATATTATTCAAGAATATGGTAACTATTCCTTATAGCTTTTTAATTAGTCAAATAACAATGAATTACCGTAAAAACCACTTAGATTTCAGGACTTACCTGTGTGTCCTAGACGTTGATAAAATTGGGACAAATAAGTCAATATTGACAACCTGTCTGGTACATCGTTTTCAACCATGTCCTCAGGGTCTAATAATGCAGGAATACCTAAGTGCTTCTCAGCAACACTATAAGCCAGTTTATTATTCTCATATATATTTTCAGGATTCAACTTGGACATATCACTGTAAAATAATTATTAAATTTTTTACTATTATTAAAACTACTTCATAATACATAATAATTGTAAAGTAAGATAATATTCTTCTAATTAAGGGCCGTAATGAAGTTATGATTTGTTTGTTTATTTAATTAGAGGTAGGAGTACTTACATTAAATCAGGTCTAAAATGATGAACCAATGCACAAAATGCTATGCCATTTCTCCAGGATGTTGTCATATTATCTATGTGCACTTCAGGGCAATCTTTAACTAACCGCTTACACCACAACTCCAGAGCTTTAGTGCCTCTTCGTTCAGACATTTTTCAAAACTTTTAAGTAACTTTACAAGGAGTTCAAACTGTTCATCATCTATGACTCATTTATGAAACCTTTTCACTGAAAATAATAACGAGCCATTACTTCTGCATTTGCAATGTACAACGTAGTACAAACTTTGCCAGATACTGATCATTGAACCGTATTCAAATATAAATTTCTAATAAAATATTCATCACAAGTTAGTGGTTAGTTGGCAATTTGGCATTGGCTAGAGACGTACCTAAAACATTGCTGACATACTAAAACAACTGTCAGTTACTACACTATTATATCCACTCGAATCAATAGTCGATTTGTAACTTTACCTAACGGAATAAGTGAAAAAGTTGAAAAAGGGGAAAAATAACTCTCAAAAATCTGACAGGACACGGATGAAAAATTTCTGTAATGTAATCTTAACATTTCGTTTACACTTAAAGTTTTCAAAATTATATTCGATTTCCGTAGTGTAGGTAGGCATAATAAATGGTCTTATCTAGCCTATAAAGAGAGTACTTAATAAGGGAACTAGCTTAGTAGGTGTGCTTAGATACAACGAGTACCTAAGTTCTGTAAGTTCCAGTTATTACCTATCACATCTGATGAAATAAATTATAATCCCTTATAATCTCTTCAGGCCTACGGAAAATAAAGGCATAATGTGACTTAATAATAACCTATGATATGATGCATAGGTATATTGGGCAACGACATGCCCACTACCCAGTGAAGCCTAGTGGTGCAAACATAGTCGCATAAAGGTACAAAAAAAAAACAAAAAATAATGAAAACAGAAATATTAAGAGTTTATTAGGCAAAGTAATTAGGCAGGTAGGTAGGTAAGCAGGCAGGCCGACAGGAACTTAAATATTTTAAAGTAGGTAATTAATTTAGGTCCATTATCAATATTGGGCGACAATTTCCAAGAGCATCAGGTCTGTAGCCACTGGGGCACTGATGTGGTACGGTTATAACGCTCCTGTTGGCATCATTTTGGTTTTGAACTTCTTTAATTTGTAATTGATTTACAGCATTCTCCAAATTCAGTGAACTGAAAAATAAAGTTATAAATTAGTTGGCCACATTAAATTATGACTTAATCAGGCTCGCGAGGTACAATGCAGTGTGGGTCTATTTTGAGAACATAACATACTCAAAGTACAAACACTTTCTTTTTGGGAAGGAATCTCGTGATTTCTGGGCTACTAATCCCGATATAATATGCTAGATAATAATGAGGAAGCTACCTATTATAGAGCAAGTTTGCATAAAAGTCCCAATAAAAATAATTAAGTGCGAATCACATCGATATTTATGTATTTATTAATCAGTAGGTACATAACCAAATACAAGAAGTTCGGTCAATGAACTTGAGGCATATCGCACAATATAATCTTTGAGATCTAGGTTAATTGAAGTAAGTACCTATAATTAAGATTTTGATAATATATAAATAATTAAATACTTACTTATAAATTAGTGGTTCATAGCATAAGTAGATATTTACAATATACTTTTAATGCGCAATATTCATTTGAAGTTGGTAAATACCTACTGACGATTAATGACGTTAATATCATATTCACATCTTAGCCTACTAAATGTAATATTGTTTAAGATTGATTTATAGGTAAGAGAGTATTAAAGAAAACAAACATTGATTAATAAAAAATAAACAGCTAATCGCATTAATTAATCGATTTATACAAAATATTTATTGACTGACTGTGGCAATATACCTAATTAAGTAGTAACACAAAAAGCTTAAATTTGGGTGCCCCAGGTTACCTAGAGAAGGTAGACCTACATTCAGCAGCTTGCCGCGATCTTTATTAGGTCATCAGGCCTTAGTACGAGTTTATTTTACGTTTATACGAGACCGTTCAGTGCTCTGATTGGTTGGTTCATGGGAGCCGGCCAATCAGAGCGCCGACGAGTACTCGTTACGATTACTTTTAACGTAAAACAAAGTCGTTCTAAGCCCTCTGAGGCCTTAGTACGAGTTGTTCATGGCGCCGGCCAATCAGTGCGCCGAATGCGTACTCGTTTCGAATACCTTAAACGTAAAACAAACTCGTACTAAGGCCTCTGTTCACCTTGAGTGCGTTTACAAGCATATCTACATATAACACCCAGTCTCTGAATAATCAAAGGATTGTTACGTGGGGAATTGAACCCGCGACACGTTGCGAAGCATCTCCTTGCTGCACCTTCTTTGCAGTCTACAACAAAGATTGAAAGGATATATTCTACAATAAACAAAGTATAATACAAATCGTACCGTACCTTCTCCACACTTCGCGGCATTGCCCATTGATGAATTCTTGTCCGGAGGGGCAATTGGTAGGAACAGTGATTACGTTTTTGGTGTCAGTTCCGCTTCTCCAAACGTCGCGACAGGAACCATTGATCCACTGCTGACCGGGGCGGCAGTTAGGTGGTACAGTCACCACATTTTGTGGCGCTAAATCCCTGGAAAAACAACAAACAAACAATAAAGATACACTGCACTTGTTATCTGCCCTCTGAGCAATATTAAATAGTTTTTAACAGATTCGTATAGGATTGCCAGTAGATAGGGTAATCTGTTCATATGCCGCGCGTATATCATTATGGCGCGCGGCGTAGTTATTTGTCATCATCTACTTCTGACTTTATTACGTCATAAAGGTTACTACTTGTTACGCATTAATAATGAATGATTTTCATGGGACAAATGAATAGGTCACAGTAATGGTCATGGAATAGTAAAATTACTATTCGATCAGTCAGTCAAAGTCAGTGGTAGGGCTTGTAGGAATGTAGGCTCATGTAAGTAGGTACTTTACGGCATAGATGGCAAAATGGAACATAGCTTCGCCAAATTATTTACATATAGGTACTGTAAAAAAATGCTTTCAGTTTGTAGGTAACTGGCCTTATGATCCGCCTTCCAAGCAACCAGCACACTGATAATTATTATTTTGTCAGAAATGGTTTTGCTTAAGCTTACTGTGTAAGCATTTCCGAATGATTGTAAGCTCATAAATTGGGAATTCCCCAAGTAGAAAACAGAAATAATAATTTAATTTTCCTTATTTGTTAGTCTTATCATTTCATTGTAAATATTGATTTCCTTTGATAATAATAGATAGTTGTACAAATTATCACTATTGCTGCTAAGATTGTTTTTTTTTTTTTGAAAGCTTTGGTATGGATATCTATATCTACCTATTATTATGAGACATCTAGAAGATACCTGCACCAGCTATGGCTTGCGCAGTAAAAAGATGTTGCCTATCAATTAGTATGAAAGTATACCTAGTATGGAAATACTTTACAGGGTCAATATTACAAACTCTAGATTCGGAAGAATATAATTCTGCGAGACTGCTTCGTTGTCCGAAGTGGTCGCAAGTGCTACTGCCGGGCAAGGGGTCTCGGGTTCGATCCCCGGGTCGTGCAGCTGGTGTGCAGCACAGGTGTGTGTTTTTTTAAAACAAATGTCAGCGGTAGCACGGAGTCTGGAATTGTGCCTGGTATATGGCAAATCGGCTCACCCTCATTATGAGGGCCTCATAACATAAATAGTGAAAAGTGGATGTTACATTGTACAGTGGCAATAATTGCACCTGCACATTACGACAATTATTGCCAGGGTAGGCAGAGGTCTGCCTACCCCTTCGGGGGTAAAATGCGTGATGTTATATTATGTTAATTTTTGCGTCTATAACAACCACATTAAATATTTTATTATATATATTTGTGTCTAAATAATCTTAGAAAGTACTAAACCCGGAAAATATTACATTGGTAGGTTTCGAATCTTCGCCTCACCCTCATGCATGAGAAGCGGGCGTTTTAAACCTCCGGGTTACCTTGACATTTACCTACATATATTTTGGTCGTGCCGTCGCGTCGAAGCAATATATACCTAAATAAGTAAGCCGTGCAGGCTCTGGCCTGGATTGAATCCAATCAATTTGGACCTGCGACCTTATTACTGACTTTCTTTGGAATTTTTAATCTCGCTCCCATAATAATTGTGTAAAACTTTTTTCATAAGGTAATTACATACCAATATTAAAAAAAAATGTATAAATGTAAGTAATTATTGTGTGTGTCAATAAACCTAAAATTTAAATCTATTTCTTCGCACGATTACCTTCAAGGTACCTATTCTAGTCATAATTTCTGTCTGGAATATGTTCAGAATCCAAACGGACAAGTATTATGGGGTTCATCGACATCATGCAGATAACCACATAAGCTTATGCGAAAGTATGCGCTCTAAATACAGGTTCTTAAACTAATTTGCCAAAAAAGCAATGACAAACGTACGTATGTACCTCCCTAAACGCTATACATATATGATTATTCCACCTGTCTGCCTCTTATAATTTTATTGGTGTTAGGAATAAAATGTTATCGAACTATAAGAATACCATAGGAAGTATAAAGAAAACAATGCCAAGTCGATAAATGTACAATCTAGGTACCTCCATCTATTGTATATTCTTACGATAAGTTTACATCTATCTTATCTTCATCATGTAGTACCAATTTATAAACATCGTGTCAGATTTTGGTCTCGTGTTCTACATTATAAGTCAAAAAATGTTTGTGGAAAAATAAAAATAAATCGAAACGTAAAATTTACCTGAAGAAGCCGTCAATCAGTGTTTTGATCCAAATTTCACGACACTGGCCATTAACTAATGATTGTCCTGGAGGGCAGTTTGTTGGCACCGTGATCATGTTTGTAGGCGCAGCTGTAACTCTCCAAATTTCTCGGCATTGCCCATTAACCCATTGTTGTCCATCGGGACAATTTGTTGGCACGGTCACCACATTTTGTGGCACAGCTTCGATATTTGGCCTGGCAGTACAAGAACTGACGAGAAAACATAGAAACGTAATGAATAAAATCATTATTAAAGTATTCGTTTCTTCCACTACAATATAAAACTTCTTTGGTCTAGCGATGGTCTGCTGTTTACTTCAAGATGAGAACAACTGGACAAGAATCTTAATTGATTTCTGATTGTATTTATCACTCCAAGTGTTGTATATAGAGAAGATAATCGAATGACGTGGAGATATGATATCTCTACAATCTTTGTATTAATAAAAGCGTTTTATTGAGTTTCTTTTGTATTGTTTGTATTTTTACAGTGTTCCAAATAAATGCATTCAAAACCAGGAAAAAATACTAATAGGCACCTTTATATTTAACAAGTCAATTTATCAATTGAGAAGCAAGTAAATGCGTACTCCTGGGTTGGCATTCCCAGGGTTTCTTGGTACCTATGTCAATTTCATTCTACATATAAAATGCAGTAAATGCTGATTATACGTCAAAGGAAAATGTTCCATATGCTGAGCACAGGAGAAGTAAAACTTGTACAATAAGTGATATGTGCCACTGGCTGTGGACTCTAGTCCCTGTCGACTGGTGTGTATAAGTCATTTCCTGTTATTAACCAATTACTGTGTGTTTGTGTCTCACAATTTTCTTTCTAGAAGTAATACTAAAGCGACTTCAGTTTCATTTCTACAAAGAAAACATCTATTTTGTAAAATAGTATTCGCAAAAGTAAGTAGGTAGGTATCTAGTTATTGTGATAATGACGGTACTCGACGAGTTAATTAATTAAAAGCACTAATTTACTATAACTTTTGATCCTTGTCAAAAACAGTTTTTCTATGGCAACTGGGTATAATGGATGCACTTTGATTGGCGATTCAAGATAAGGAGATATGACTTTACAAAATATTGTGAAACTTAGAAACAATAGCTATCTAATTACATGTTGGTAGGTGCCAGCATAAATTAATACATATGCGACTGAAGTTCATAAGTAGGTAGAACAAAACACAAATCGTGATAGTAGCGTTATGCACTTCTTTTAATTGTAAACATTAGAATCAACATGTTGTCTTAACATTGAAATTATTGATTAAGTACCTACCTACCTACCTATAAGTAGAGGTATAACAGAAGATTGTAATGCGTACTTTACACTTACCTACGTTTGTTTGTACCCCGTTGTTTGGGTTTCCATGCTGAAATATTGATTCTACGAAAGAGTCCATGAGAATGTTAGTGTGCGGTCAATTTATAGCGCTTACCTAGGTTTTACGTAGGTCCCAGCTCTATGTGTGGATGTAAGCCCCTCAGTTATACGCAGTAGGGTGGGCGGGTCAACATTCGCCCATGTTCTTAATACGATTCATTTAGTGTTCGAGAAACAGAGAGTCACACGCGACAGTGTAGTGTTGACGTCCATTGTTATTGGTCACTTAGTGGCCAGTTTGAAACAGTTTTAGTGAGTGTCGAAGTAAACATGAATCGTAAATTTTTATTAACGATCTTTACTATCATATTGATCGTTAGTATCGAAGGTAGAAAAACTTCTGGTCGAAGTCGTGGTTCTGGTTCGGGTCGTGGAACAAGCAGAAGAACAAATTATAACCCTCAACCTGCACCAACTTCTTTTAGTCAAGCACAAGCACAAAAGCCTACCTTGTTTGGATGGCAGGAGCGACCCGGTCAATCTTCGTGGCAATCAAAATCATCCAGTGGACAAAGTCATTCATATCCTTCGAGTGGCACTGGCAGTCACACATATTCCAGTGGCGGTAGTGGAAGTCATACATATCCTAGTGGTGGTAGTGGAAGCCATTCATATCCTAGTGGTACCGGATTATCTGGCGATAACAAGCCTAAGGCTAGTGGTGGCAGTGGCAGTCATTCATATCCCAGTGGTGGTAGTGGGAGCCATTCATATCCCAGTGGTGGCAGCGGGAGCCATTCATATCCTAGTGGTACTGGACTATCTGGCGACAACAAGCCAAAGCAACCGTCTTCTCCTAATCAGCAAGCAGGACATTCCTACCCATCTTCACCTGGATTATCAGGAAGCGCTGGTGGTGGATATCCTCAGCAAGCTGGAAGTAAGTATCCACAGCAGGGAACCGGAACTGGGCAGTCAGGGTACCCGCAGTCAGCACATAACTATCCACAACAACAACATGGAGTGGGTGGTTCTGGTTCAGCAGTTGCGCCGCCACCATACACACCACATCAAAATAACTATGGAAACCAATATCATCCTCAAGGCCCACCGCCTCCTTATTCAAATTATGGCGGATCTAACTATGGTGGCGCTGGTGGACACGGTTATTACAATCCTGGATTTGGCCCCCAAGTACCAGGATATTTTGGAAACTATGGAAAACCAAGTGGAGGAATGAGTCGCGGTGGAAGCGCCCTGGCAGGAGTGGGTATTGCCGGTGCTGGTATTGGAACAGTATTAACTGGCTTAGCTCTTTGGAATTTGGCTCGTTCTACAGGACATCATCATCACACTGTTGTATATGATAATAGAGGACAACCTGTAGCTGTAGCACCGGTTAATGATACGTCAGCTGCTGCGGATTCCATTTTAGCTGATTTAGTAAATTGTAGTTTGACAATAAGCAATGACGATAAAACCGAAGTGCTGGCGATACCGTGTTCTATTGCTACTTCATTCACTCCCGACGCTAACGTAAAGGACTCCGACGTTAATAAAGATCCTAATGATAATACTAAGTGCACTATTGCAGTTCTCACAAAGGACGGTAAAGAGTATATGACCACTATACCGTGCTCGATTCTTCTTAATACAGCTGCAGAGAATAATGTTACAGAACCTCCCTTAGTAATTGATCAACCTATCAACAATAACAACTTTACTAGCGACGGAGACATCCAAAACGGCACTTCCACGGAAAATCTTCTAAAAGGAGAACCAACCGCTCTTAGACTTTCCGGTGAAGATGTAAATGGAGATGATAAAAAAATTGCACAACTAAATTGTACTGTACAACCGGAAGAAATAAGAGATCCAATAAATCCGTGTTTTTCTATTAATCATAATTTAACTGTCATACCCCTGCCAACTACGGAGGCACCAAAATGATTTGCTAGTTCCTATTTAAGATGTATAATTTACTTGTATAAACTTTTTTAGTCCACAAAGTTTCCGATATTATTAGGTATCAGACACATTAATTTCATTAAGTTTTTTTGTATAATTTTTGCTCATCTCAACGGTATTATTATTTGTTACTTAGATGGTTAAATGAAATTTGTTATGCACCTGTAACTCTGCAGTTACAAGATCTATTTAATTTCTGTTCTAAGTGGCTTTGTTGTATTAGATTATACTATGTTGGATATTACCTGGATGTCACACAGACTGTCCGATTTTGTAAAATTCAACCATTCGAGTGAGTATCGATCACCACAACACCTTGTGTTTGCGTTTTCACTAATATCTATAATAGGTATCTATATTTTGGTGATTGTGTAGGTCGTTTACATGGGTAGTTTACACAAAGAGTGGCATATGATGTCTTTAGCTTATAATAAATTTGAATAATAAAAAACACTCTAAAAACGCAATCAAAGGCAGGGGAAAAGCACTTGTTATGTGTAATACCCACCTGAAACGATTCGTTTAGATATACTATATCTAATAACTAATAAGATAAATATTAATAGTATTATAAGTATTGTATACCTATTCTGTTTAATGTTAGTCACATGCACATAATTTTGTTGTTAAGTGAAAAATAAATGCATGTGTTGTTGTAAGCACGCACGTCTTTTACTTTACTAGGTAGGTACATACCTAATTTAACTATTTGTCTAGATCATTTCACATGTATATTAGGGTTCTGGCATTAGCGGTCAGGGTCGAGGGCATATACAGGGTGACCGGAGAGTAACGTTTAAGCGTAAAATTTAGATACTTTATCATGAGGAGTATTTAATCCAAATACTTTTCTGTTGGACGTTTCTGATTCTGTTGTTTTGTGATAGATAACTGACTAACATAGTCTAACCTAGCATCCTAAAACCACCTTATATAATACCTTATATAAGTCCTTATGGTTTATCTAAGATTTGCGGAATTTACTTAGAATTTGTTTGAAAGTTCAAAATGACGATCTGAGTTCAATACACATAAATTACTGTCACATTTTGAAAATTTATGCATAAAAAAATATTATAACTGGAAAACTACTATCGTAGAACATAATTATATGGGGGTGATTTGAATACTCCTCATCATAAAGTACCTATCTAAATTTTACGCTTGGACGTCAACTCCCCGGCCATCCCGTATATGGCTTGGGTTCGAATCCCGCAAGGGTTTTTTTTTAAGGGGGGAAAATCATCGAATGACTGCTCCCACCTGGGTGAGGCGGGAGGGAGTGTCAGACTCTTACTGACTAAAAACCATCCCGTTCCTTCTCCTGCACGTCGAGCCGGAGCCCCGGTTACCCGTTAGGTACTCCGCGACTCCGGGTTATCTGTTTGCGAAATACCTACACCCAATTTTACCTATACCTTATAGGCGCTAGGTGACTAATGAATTATTGATCGTAATCCCCAATCTGACTAGTCATCGCTTCACCAGACCATGAGCATAAGGTGCACGTGTACCTACAGACGAATTTATAAATTATTTCTATTGGGTAAGTACTTAGTATTGTACGTCAACCACTTCCCCCAGATAAGGGAAAACACCTAAGTAGGTACGCACACAAAGTTACGTTTATGTCTATCGTAGCTACTAGTTACTGCGCCAGTAGTACAATCGAATACTTCAGTGGGTATAGTCAGAGACGTATTATCCATAAGGCAAACTAGACAAGTGCCTAGGTCGCCAGGTTACAGAGAGTTGCCGTGAGATGCGAGTGCCCAACTGCCCATAGACGGTGGCAACGTCAGAATTATTAGTTATGAACGCATGTGAGGTGCTTGCCTTGGGCGCTGGGTTTAATCTGCCTCTGGGTGTAGTGGTCTGTGGAAATCTTGAAAATGAATTTATTATCATTATGTGTGAGTGTATGAATGCATAATTTTATTTTATTTTATACTAGCTTTTACTCGCGGCTTCGGTCGCGTCACAAAAGGATAAAAAGTAGCCTATGTGACATATACCAATACACACAGCGCCATCTATACCAATCCTTTTGTTTTTCCTCGGGAATATCAATTTTTTCCGGGATATAAAGTACCCTATTGTTTAATCCGGACTTCTAACTTTACGTCTGCAAAAATTCAAAGCTATCGGTTAAGTAGTTACGGCGTGAAAGCGGAACAAACAAACGATTAAACTCACTTTCCGATTTATAATATTATATAGTAAGGATAGTAAGGATTGCGTTGTAAACGTCTTTGTTGTATATTTAGGTTACTACTGTTAAAACGTGTCATAGTTTGTAAGGTTTTCTTATTCTTATTTTTTTATATATTTTTCTTTTCCTACCATCTTTCCAATTTGTTTAATGAAGGAATACTTTGGTTTAATGACTGTGTCTATAATGTCATGTCTGACTGTGTCTATATTTTAATTTAAATAAAAATAAATCAATCTATATAGGTACGTGTTGTGAATTAACACCGTTTTTCCTTTTTGTCGATAGATTAAGATCATTACTTAATTGCTATATTTGTAATGGGATGTAGGTACTTACTTACACCTACATATTAGTAAGGTACATATAGATGGTAATCGAGTATTGTTGTTGTGTATTTGTGTGCTATAAGCGACTGTATCTACCTAATAATTAATTTAAGTAGGTACTTTGATAACGGAATATCGCAAATTAATTCAATTTTGATATGAGTCACCGATATTTAGTTGTTATCGGAAATACCTACATTATAATAAAATTATTTATGTTGTTGGTACGAAGGTGTACTTACCTACCTAGATTCATATTTACTTACACGTGTCAGAAATAACATCATTACAGGTTGGTAGGCCAAGCATTTACAAATATATAGGCAGCAGTTTATTAAAGGTCATTGAAAAATGTTCCGGCCCACATGTTACAATTACATAACTTACCAACCTAAGCTTTTTTCTATACCGTTTCTACTTCTATTTCGAGCTGGCGCCCCGGTAACCCGCTGGGTCGTGTGCAGCCCGGGCATGTTACATAAACTTGTGGTGCTAACTGCATTACATTACAGGTACTCTTTTTTAAGGGGGGAAAATCATCGAATGACTGCTCCCGCCTGGGTGAGGCGGGAGGGAGTGTCAGACTCTTACTGACTAAAAACCACCCCGTTCCTTCTCCTGTACGTCGAGTCGGAGCCCCGGTTACCCGTTAGGTTCTCCGCGACTCCGAATCGGCATCGGCCGTATTGGGCCCCATCTGTGGTGGTATTACAGGTACTCTAATGTAGGTATATACTCACTATCGCGACGATAAGTAAGTTATCGTAGCGATTTGTTTTGTATTATAATTTTTATGAGACATACTAAATTAAATATTTTATTCTATGGCTAACTCTCGTTACTGTTTGACGACTTTCAAGCTGCTAGGGACTCGTATTCACGAGCAGGATTCCACTACATATAACTGAAACTAGTCGAGTTACGTTCTTATTTTACGCATGATTGACAATATCCTTAATCCTACTTAAATGATGTAATAATAATTTACGTAATACTAATAACGATGTGATCTATCAAATAATTTATCCTTTTAACTTTGGCATAGGTATGGGTATTATACGGCTGATAAGCTTAGTGTTAGTTGAGTTGTTAAACAATAAAATAAAAAAAATAATATTGTCTATTACTGTTGTGCTGTCAGTGTCAATTTCTTGATGTGATAATAGTTTTAGTTGACAGTTGTTATCAATACAAACACAAGGCTCAGTGATAAATGTAAAGATTGGCCAAAGTATTTTTAAATGAAAAAGTATATTTATTAAATACCTACATAAGGACCAGCTAGTTAAGATAAAGATGTCGGACCCTACTATACAGACATTTTGTTGTCACCATACCGGTAATAAAGAAGACTTTGCAGTTAGAATTATGGATGAATTTAATACAGATTCGTACAATATTGTATGTTTGGTTTCCTCTACAGTTGGAATTTTAGGTTCTGTGTATCAGGTAAGCGATAACATATTGAGTTACTGTTATCAGTTTGAACTTTTGTGTTTAATTTAAAACTGAACTTTAGAAAGCGACATTTTTGTGGTACTTGTATGGCTTCTCATGTTACAGCCTTGCCACAGTTCACCGGCTTGGAAATTCGGGTCACTCGAGACCCAGTTGCATTAATATTTATATTAAAAGTTTATTAACATGCTTCTAGATTTTCCCCGACGTTATAAATCGAATACAAAAAGGAGTCGGCTCAACGCGCGGTCGACGGATCATTATTTGGTTAGCTGTTGCAGATTTACTGGCATCATTTGGTAACTGTTTTTAATAATTTTCTTTAACTTTTTACCAGTCAGAATTCTTAACAAAATCTGATAATAAAAAGGTGAACACCTAGCAAGGCATATGGAAAAACATTAGTATTATTTTCTTACTAACTGAATTTGTTTATTCCAGGAGTTCTGCTACGTTCTGCCTTGTGGCTGAGGTATAAGAATATTATGCCATTGCCAGATGATGATGTCAGTGTTCTATTTTGCAGCATCATTTCAGTGAGTATCTGTATTATATTATTATTCTCTTATACAAGATCTGTGATTTTCAAAAATTTCTCTCTATAATTTCAGGCTTGGACTCAATACTTTTACACAGTTACTTGGTTTTGGACCTTGTTTTATGCCATAGATACTTGGCTCACAATAAAAGGCAGAGATTCTCATACTTTGCTCTATCACTCTATTGCTTGGGGAGTACCTGCTGCAACTACTGGTGTTGGCTTGTCTATTCTTTACATTCCTAATGCGAAGTAAGTACTATTTACACATAAATCATGTGTAGACTTCCAAACTTAGAGCAGAAAACAAATTTTGTGATAATGTTTAAATGTTTATTAAATACAGTTTAAACTGTCAAACACCGAGCGGTCACCGGTGACCGCAACCTATTGTTTTTTAACTCGTTGAGTACCGTCATTATAGACATAATTAAAGAACAATAGGTTGCGGTCACCGGTGACCGCTCGGTGTTTGACAGTTTAATTGTGTCTATAATGACAGTACTCAACAAGTTAAAAATCATATTAATACCCAATCAGAAGTCTAGATCTCTGATATACACCAAATTAATGTATAAGGAATTTTCTAAAAAAACTTGAAGCTATAACAATCAATATATTACTAGTTATGCAGATATTGTAGAAAGATAATCATTCAAATTAGGTGTATGTAAATTGGATACAAGAAGACCTTGAAAGTTGCATGGCCTTAAGATATAAATACTCAAATCTAATAACTTTTTTAATATCATTGCAGATGCCACAATCTACCAAGTGTAACAAGTGCCTTATACAAGATATTACCTAATTACTGTGCCACATACTTGCCCATAGCCATGGTAATGATAGTAAACCCAATAATGTATGTATTGTCAAGTAAAGATGTTGAAATGGCGGTAGCAGTGCCTCTCGCACAGGTATAGTATTACAACTAGAACAACTTGTCTATGATACCTCATTTCCTGATTACCTTAAAAAACAGAAAATCATTGAGAACAAAATAGTACATACTTACCTAGTAAAAGTGTGTGGTACTATAAATACAACTCTATTGACCCCTTTGAGAATATAAAGCTTAAAGTTAAAAAAAAATAATATCAAGACTTGTTTTTCGTATATTCTTATCTTAGGTGATATTTCGCAAACAAACATAATAAACTTACTTTGTTTAGACTATTTTAGCAGCTGAGGTAAAATAAGGTAATAGTAGGTTTATTTTACCTTATGCTAAAGCTATACATATTTTACGCTA